ATTTGAAAAAAGTCGAACGGGAAGACACTTGTTGACTCCGTGAAAAATTCCCTTCGAGCAAAAAAATACACGTCCTTTTGTTATGAAAGCTGAAATTAAATGATCCTAAGCAGTTCTACGTGTAGGGGGCGGCTCTCTGTCGACGCATCGCGAGACTCGGCGGCCAGATTTCAACGTGCCGGTAACATAGAGCTCTGGCACACGTGAAGTAGGTACGTAGATAGGTAGGTAAGTACGTATGCCCTGATAAGTACACGACATTGCCAAAGATAAAAAGGTCGTGTTAATATATTTAAAAAAACATATTCATTTTTTTAATTTCATGTAAAACCGAGTTGCGTCAGTTTAACGTAAAATCCCATTTTCCCATGTATTATAATACGCATCCGTGAAAAGAAAGGACGTGTCGTCAGCATTATGCATTAAGTTATTGTAATATTGAGCAGTATTGAAAATGTAATGTGTAGCAACGCGTACGCGCGTACGTGTGGTGTATGCGAATATAATAATACGGTAGCAACTGAATCGAGTATTGAGTAATCTTGACAGTTTCGAGATGTCTGTTTTAATGAAAATGCTGGAAGCTAATTCCTGAAAAAGCCGCGTGCATTTAGCAAAGGAACTTGTGACTCGAGCAGAAGCGACAGCTTTCTCGCGGAATTTTCCCAGCTAATTTAGAAATTCACTCGGCACATTCTTCGAATTAATTTAACACGCAAATATTTCTATCTCCCCGCGTTAACTGCACAATAAATACCGATCGCGATCGGTATCCCTCCCGCTCGTCCAGACAATGCCAGATGTACCGAAATGGAAAGAAATGCCCGTTAAAACCTTCCTCGAGTGCAAAAATGTGGTCTAAGTCGCTACTACAGTTCGCCAGGAACCCTCCGGAATTCGATTCCAAGCAGTCCGCCGCTCCTCCTTCGACCCGATCCGCATCTTGAAGAAATTCGTACTGTTCGTCGGTGAGTGCATGTGTGTGCTGGTGGACGCCAGGTTTTCCCAGGGAGTTGTTCCTGCTAGAGGGGGGACTAAAGTTCCCGCTAGAAGAGTATATCGCCAGGCATTGCTCCGTCACGTTTTGTCGCTTTCATTGTAACGCTGCTTAATCGTGAAGATGCTCCGATAAAGTGCGCCGTGCATTGTTGTTACACACACAGCTCTTCTCTCTCTCTATCTCTCTCTCTCTCTCTCTCTCTCTCTCTCTCTCTCTCTCTCTCTCTTTTCTCCCTCGACATCTCTCCCCGCGTGAGACTTTTGCTTGCTCTGTAGCGGCGGAGATGATATCGTCTTTAAGTTGAACACACTCATATATACCTCAGACACACGAAGACAAATTTACCGTGTGAAGTAATCGCGTATGTGTGTGTGTATGTGTGTGTATGTATGTATGTACGTGAGGTTTCAGCACTTTGCTGCTGCCGTCTCTCTCTCTCTCTCTCTGTCTCTCTCTCTTCTTCTTCTTCTCTTGATGTGTGCGCGCGTCTCTGTCGCATCACAAGTTCTCTCTCTTCTCTCTTTCTTTTCTCCCTCCTTCCGACAAGGTCGTCGTATTTATTGTGGAATAGGAAAGGAAAACACACTGTCGAAAAATTGCTGCTGCTGCTTGCTGCTGCTGCTTTTGGTGCTACTTGTATACACCTATGAGAAAGGGTTACTGAGAAACGCGGAGGAGGGGGGCGCTTAAAGCCCAAACAGTGAAAACCGGTTTTTTTTTACGGGGGGAACCCGTGCACGATGTCCAGTGTAATTTTTGTCTTTTTCCATCTTTTTACAGACCATCCCCCCCCTCTCCTCTCTTGTAACCCCCTCTCACTGACTCTTCTTTCCTCCAACAACACTTCCTCCTTCCCTCTCGCGTTAATTTCTTCCGTCACATCCTATAAGCGCATCAATGAAGTAGGTTGTGGCAGCCCCAGCCATCTTCATTCAAGGGATGAAGGTGCGGATTTTTGACCCACCCGTTCACTCGTACCACTCTTAATAGGCACCGCATTGGAGGATTTTTGATGACGAGAATAATTGACGGGGCGTGTGCGCGTAAAGTACAGTTGTTAAGTGTAGTGGGGACTGAAAATTCACCAGGCTAAGTTGGTCTCTTTTCTTAAAGGCTCCACTATTGTTAACTTACTGTAGAAACAATGCTACGACGAAAACCTCGTTGCGTATATACTACCTCCCGTTATAGCCCCCCCCCACATGGGATTTTGTTTTTTAATTTCTCTCTCTCTTAAAATTAGTCTCTCTCTCTCTCTTTTTCCTCCCTTTAAACTCTCTCACACGTGTGTTGTCTTCTTCTTCTCTCCTCCTCTTCTTCCTTCTTCTCCTCCCTCTCCTTCTTACTCACATTGGAAGGACGAGTTCACTGCGAACTTCTTCGAAATACGAACGACAGCCTCGGGGAGGAATATATGTGCGAACTTGCCATCTTTAAGCAAACATACCAAAGCATCACCTCTCCTCGCACACCATCGAAGGTAAGCGGAGACCGGCCTGTTTTTTCCAGCTGCCTGCGATGATCACTGAGTAGCATCGGACCACCTGATTACTTCGGAGAGACCGGGCCTTATATGGAACGGGGTGCACGACGTGTACTGACGAGAAAACGCGATCAAATGTGTTCGAGGAAGCGTTCCATCAGACGTACTCTGACACCGCGATCTCGCTCTCGGCCGAGTGAGAGCAACGTCGAGACCGGTGATTCGCACGCGCGTCAACGACGGAAAATAATGAAAATCGAAAAAATCAAAGGGTAACTTCAACTCGGCAGCAGCCTAGCGGCAATTTCAGGACAACTATTTCGTAGAAGGATTCTCTAAAAGGTAGACTAGTAATGTTATTCGACTAGGTAAATTAGTAGTTACCCTTAAATAAATCTTATCGACTCGGATGCAGGAGCGGCCAGTGGCCGCAGGGTACAACATATATCCGATACCGTTGCAAAATAATCTCGATAATTGGAAATACGCAGAGACATGTCTGTATTAAATGTTCAGTAGTATAGCTTAATTCGAAATGAAAGAATGAATTTTGTAGGGGATAAGAGACGAAAGGACACGTGACTGGGAGTCGGCAAAGCAACATTCGCCCGGGCAGAGCTCCCTGGCGTTGTCGCCAACGGTAACAGCGAGGCATGTGCCATATACCGCAAATGTACCCTGCTCGATACCAACGGTAGGTAAGTTTTACCTACTCTGCCGATAAAGTAGATTCCTCAGCTCACGAGCTACTACTACGTTATGGTAAAAGTAAAATGCCGTTTGCGAATTTTGGATCGTGTGTGATTCACGCAGTCGATGCAAATTCTGATTGCGGGAACGAGTAAACTGACCAATTAAAAAGTAACGGAGAACCCGAGGCGTGCCGATCGGTAAAAAAAGAAATTTAAATTTAAATTTAAATTTAAGGGACAAAAACTTTTGTTACATCTTAATAGATAAGTAGCAAGTTTCTTCTTGATAGTATCATAGTCTTTTCTTTTACAAAAATTAAACAGAGGTTAAATATATGATATAATACCGTGTTATAATCGTGTCATATGAAAGGTACATGTGTACATCGCAAATATATTCAATAAATAAACTATATTTGCGTGGTAATAAATTTATAATCTGAAAAATACTCGTTTTAAGATTTATGTTATAATATTTCTCTTGATATATCGTAAATAACCTGGCAAACATGAGACGTATTAGCGACATGTCCGACATCATTAATAGCTCGCCGGCGAATGACACGCCGTTTAACCTCGTTAATGCATCATTATGTTTGCTGACTTGGTCGTAAAGATAACACAATATATAAAATCCGAACCGTGTAATCATAAAATAAAAAATATTGTAATGTGAATTTTTTATCATGTATACCGGGTGTCTGGTTTTAAGTGTCTGACCACTCATGTGTAGATAGGACGTATTGTCATTACACATCATTCGCGTTGTAATCTTAAATTCATAAGATTAAATGTGACATCGAAGAAATACTGAGAAAAATGCAAACACAACAGATCGAGTTCTTACAGATATAATGGATGAATCTAAATATGTACACTAATCATAGATAATTTTTACTCAACGATTATTCAACCGATAAGTTCGTTGAATACATTCGTCGGGACACTTTATGGAGTAAAAGGTTAATAATAAGAACAATGAGACTTATAAGTTTGAATTATTTTTAGAGTAACAAAAGGAATGTGTATAAGTAGGAAAAAAAATAGAAAACACATAGGATTATAAAAGAAAAAATAAAGGGACAGAATAATCGACGAGAGATTAGAGGAAAGAAAATAATAAGAACATATGGAGAAGAAGATAGAAGAGCTGAAGCCGAGGAAAGATTTAAGAGAAAAATATTAATTTTTAGATATTTCATTAAGAGAAAAAAATAGCAAAATCAAAAAATCAAGTAGAAAAATATAGAAGAATTATAACACAAAACGTAGTAAGAAGTGAAAAAAGCAGAGAAATAAATCGAAAAATCAAAGGTTTTGAGAAAGAGAGAGAAAGAGAAAAGAATACATGTCACTAATATATTGGGGAAAGCAACGAACAGAGATGAGAAAGGGGAAAGAGAGAAGGCACAGGGGTAAGTAAAGACAAGAGAGGTAAGTGATAAAACTCGGGTGACGCGACCCAGCCAATCACAATTCTGACCATTGATGTAGTTCTACCTGTCCTTTCGCAGGAGAAGCTCATACTGGCCTTGCCATTTTACTTACTATCTTTATCGCATCTATTTTTCATCTTAATGAGAGTGCTGTACGAGCAGAAAACGACTCGGACTAACGTGGTGCTACAGTTATTAGCAATATCCAGCGAGCGCGCGATGTTTGCCAACAATCCTTCAAATAAAGGCAATAGCGGCGCTAATGGAACAAATCATAATAAATTGTCGAGAGAATATCTCCGGGCGAATCAAAGGAGTGCGCAGTCGTCATAATAGCGTATGACATTTCTTTCGGAATATTTACCTATAAACACGTTCGCGCCGCGTGTACATCTCCCAGCGTCGCGCGCGGAGCCTGTTACACGACTATTATCTTTCGCCGAAATGTATAATATTGTCCCCGACGCACGCGTGTTCCCGACAGTGCTTTTACGAACCGGTGTGAAAGTGTGCGGGTTGAAGATATCCCTTTTGATCGGTCGAATTTACAAATCTGACATACGTGCATCTTTCGTTCCTCTCTGCCGATTTTAAACAGGTCCGGACAACGTTCGAGACACTGACGGATTGGGGGAAGAAGACGAAAAAGACAAGAGCGTAGAGATTCAAGCGTAACGTCAGCCACTACACTTTAATCGCGACATTAGAAACTGCAAAATATTGATCTCGGTCTCGTACAATTTCACGCGCGCGCACCCTTCTTCCGATCTTATCGTATTATCGTGACAAACAACTTAATTCGTTAATTTAGGAAAGGGTAGAGAGCAGCAAGAGAGAGAGAGAGAGAGAGAGAGAGAGAGAGAGAGAGAGAGAGAGAGAGAGAGAGAGAGAGAGAGAGAGAGAGAGAGAGAGAGAGAGAGCAACAAACAGAGAAACAGAAACAGGAGGAGCAAAGATCGGGAGCAGAATCAGGAAGAGGAGTCCGAGCAGAGAGAGAAGCAGCATGGTGTTCACATTAACATTGCCACTAATCGGCTTGGAGCCGACAAAATTTAGCGCACTGAGCACAAGGTTTCAATGCGAAGTAATCCAGGGCTGGCCGCCGTCGGCTCCCGAACAAATTTCGCCAAGCGCCATTAAAAACTCCAACGACGTCAGTTGCCTCGCGTTGTTCGGATCTACGCGCGACGAGGAGTCATCATCATCGTCCTCGCCCAGCGTCTCGTCTTCGTCGACGAAGAGCGCCTCCGTTGGGAGCGAGAGTCCACGTGAGCAACGGAGCGAGCAGGTAAACAACGCGAGCGCGAGCGGGTCGTGTAAAATTCGCAACGGCCGCGATAAATCGGAGGCGTGGCGTGAAACGAGAGGATTGCCTTGCAGGATATACGGATCATGTATCAAGGGCGGGATATATTAAATCTGGCGGCGAACATCCGCGATCCCGTATGGAGCAGCCGAGATATGTGGCACAGGACGGAGGAGTACGAGTCGCTGACGCCAAGCCGTTCGATCATGCAACGACTGCAGGTGCAAACGCTTACCGAGGACGACACGATGGTAAGCACGACGCGCTACGATGACGTGTAGTAAGAATGATCAACTGCGTAAAACTAACATCACGACCTGGCGACCGCGAAAGCTCGCCGCAAATCGCAGCGGACCCGACCGGGCCCGAATGTCGACTGTTCGACTGAGAAAGTATCATCATTTTCTGCCCTTTCAAAAAACGAATCAAGCATGCTGACGTAATCCCGTCGTAGATGGTGTTACACAGCCTACAACAGCGAATCCCTTAACGCGCACGGATTCGTCTGCCGAGGAGTTTGAACACTTCTCGCGCGCGTGTACCGAGTACACTCGGCGCCCGATGCGGGGAGGGGGGGGGCGACTCTATCGCATGACATTTCATGATTCGAAAACAAAATCCTCCTGATTTCGCAGGACGCTTGTGAAAGGAAACGTTCCTTTCAAAGAGCATTTGAAAGCTCCTTCATTCAAAGCGTTCGTTCTTGCGGGACGAATGTGCGCGTTTCTTCGGGTCTTATCGCCTACGCATCCTCTCATCGCTGACTGATATCTTACACGGAAAGTTATCGCGCGCGTGCGCGGTATTGTCACCGATGGCAAATAGTAAATTGTGACAGTGTATGTAGAAACTGTCAAGTTATTTGTCGCAAAGTTCTCAGTACTGATTGACGGGCGTTGGTGCAATCTTTACTTCGACCTGTGGTGAGCAATGAACGAAAACGCGCGCGCAAATAACGATGGTAGCCTCGCGATTGCCTCTCCCACCCTCTTTCTCTGACAAATTCAATCTGAATCTCGCCTGCTCCGACTACCCTGACTGTGAGAAAAAAATGTCGACTCTTTGCGATTGGTATTTTGTATAATTGTATGATAAAATAATCATAGTCGAAAACTCTACCACTTACCGTCGTGATAAACGGTTCTACAATATTGTTAATGATAACTTGATAATTACGTTAATGATAACGCATATTGTTATTACTATTTCTTTTGTTAGGACAACGATATAATTGACGCCGGAAATCGCAATAACTTGCAATGAGATCGACAATTTTTTCTCTCGGTAAACAATTATTTAGTCACGCAATAAGAAGAAAAATTCAATAGCTCACTCCTCGGTAGAATAACAATTGAATCACACTGATTTTTTATCGAAATCCAAAATTGGAAAGTAAAAGTTAAATACAGGGGATACTAATGTTAGCATATAATGTTAACGTGTAAAGAAAGGGGGAAAAAATGTGTAATAGAAAAAGATATGTCGAAAGCGTCAAATTTAATTCCAAGTGTGATCAATTTCGTTTTATTTATCACCTAACTTGGTTTAACCTAAGCTAAACTAACTCAAAAACAAAAGTACAAGCAAGAAGTAGTACAAAAGCTAGTCATAACAGAATAACAGCAATACAAACCAAAGTATAATTGTCTATTTATCTTGCTTGTACTTCTTGAGTTAAGGTTAGGTTAGGTGATAAATTGAACGAAATTTATGTCATTTGCCAAATGTGTTGGTAATGATCAATTTATCACATTTACCGTAAAATATATAATATTGTCAATTTTCGCATTATCAATCTTTTTCTATTCGCGCAAACACCATAGATATATTAAATATAGATGGATCACCTACTAGCCTGTAGGGATCTCTCCCGCATGCCAACATAACTTTGAATAATTCAGTGGAAGGGATAAATTTTCCTCCCTCGTGCACGCGCATTTGTGCGTTTGTGGTTCGCAACCATTCACGATTGCGCATGCGCAAAGGAGGAAAATCTCCTCCCCTTGCCCCACTTATCTTGGCGCTGGAAAATCGAGACAATGATCTTTCTATATTTGATATAACTACAGCGAACACTCAGATAATCGCTGCAATTAATATGCAACCTAAATCCCACAAAACCCCGATAAAAATACATTTCACAATTATTTTACAACGCTTTTATCGAATTATTAGTAATATCATTATTAATTGAATCGATTGATAATACTAATGGTTGCCAGATATTGCTATTCAGGAAGCAGCCTTGTTGCAACAAATGTTATAATAAATTTGTACAACAAATGTTACAATAAATTTGTAAAAATATAACATTTTACGTACATTTTATATACAATTATATGTTTTTTCTTACGCGATAATCAATTTTTACCCAATACATTCTTCATCAAGATAAGATAAAATATCTTGAAAAGTACTTGTTTTTCGTTTTCGATTTTTATCTTGATTTGTGTTGAGAGAATCATGAAATCAATCGATTTAATTAATTAATTCTCGCTCTCAAAAATCAAGTAGTAGTAGTAAAAAATGTATGTGTCTTTAATTTACACGTTAGTTGCGCAAAAGTTGTCTCCTTATGAATTTTATATAAAATCCCAGAGATTGACCTCGTGCAGTCGTTTTCGCCTATAGACCTTTATTATTTGGCGAAAAGGTTCTTCATTTAGAGAAAAAAGAGATTTAGAGAGAAAAATACACCGATTCATATGGTTTGATATTTATCTTTTTCCAACTCTAATAATCGGAATTTATATTCCACAGGACGCCTGCACGATTTGTAAATTCCGTCAACCCAAGCCTTATCTATACTAACATAAGCCTACCAACGGTATAAATCAACGGACGAGCGAAAGGTCTGTTTGTCCACTCTTATCATTCGTACACGATGATCAACCACGACTGTACGACGATGGTACGACAGTATATACTACATATAATTTCTGCAATGGACTTACGACTCGTATTCAGTTTATCACTGTTGGTCTCACTTCCTAATTCCTAGTTTGGATCGACCACCGTTTAACCGATCGTATAACCAAGCGGCAGCCTCTCGTAACAAATATGAACGAACAGAAGAGAGGTCGAGAACCCGATGAAAGTTGCAACTAAATGCATAAAACTGTGTCGCAAGCGCTGTCGCAATTACGACAGTATTCTTTCGATCATAGTAGATCTATAGAAAGTACAAAAAGTAAAATATTGCTATAAAAAGTAAAAAAAAAAAAATAATAGTTACACGAACCGACATACATATATATATATATATATTTTTTTTTTATTAAAAAGACAAAAGAGAAAATTTACAATGGCCGAATTGTCGCTTGGTCATTAAAACGGCGAATTTTCCATCGGGAATTAGGAAAGAAAAGCGTCGGTAACTTGGATGCCTCATCTGATTAAACCGCAAGAATTGCAAGCTGTTGCAAATTGCTTCGTGCGCAAAATTGCACGCTGCAAAAGAAGCCCCCTAGAATATACATATATGTATATATATATCCTCAGTAATGATTTATTGAAGACACACCATGTGCACTGAGCTTAAACCTTTTCGGGACACTTCTCGTTTGGACGCGGTTCGCGGCGCGGAAGATGTCCAATGAGCGAACTTGAACAGACCTGTAGCCCGATCTGGGAATTTTTTGTCTGAAACAAGTTCTTTCTCATCGTACTATCGACTGCGTCCCGGACCGTGTTCCGACGAAAAGCGCTGAAACCGTTTTGAAGTTCAGCGTGCCACGTAAAATACGTCCATATTGCCATACGTTATTATCGACATCGGTCGATTACCGATTTCGTTTCGTTCTCCGCGACTAGAATAAGTATTAAGCCGATTCACTCAGTTATCGTTGTCAATGACATACGCACAAATATAATTCGTGTTTCGCGCAATACACCACGAACGATCGGCCGCTCCTCGAACGGCCGCAAGTTAGTTAGTCCTTACATTATCGCGGTGAATGTAACCCTCCACTGCTCTCAGAATAATACACAATATTTTCTTCTTCGGCGTCTTTTTTACGTAAGACACACCATATTGACGATTGTTTCTTGGACGTGCCCATGGACGTGGATTCTCCCACCTGAGTACATAGAAAACAATATTTCGCGTACTTATGTATGTCTCTTTAGACGCGTTTCGCCAATTATGTTTTACGCTGCGAAATTTCACGAGAAAAATTGCCATCACTGTATCCTGATATAACGTTTTAACATATAAATATACTGTATCCGGCCGTATTTTATATATTTACCGGGCGGAAAAACGCTTACATTGTCGAGTTATACAACGCGTGTTCACAAGATAATATAACATGTTCGCATGACACTGTTGCGTGTATATGACTACTATATTTAAACAATATTCAATAATAAACGATATTTTATCTCTTTTACCGTCGCGTGTGTATATGTTCCTTACCTCCCGGTATATCGCACTGTGTGCTGGTTGCAAAATATACCAAAATTCCATGTACCGAATTCCGAGCGAAAATAAAAAGGAAGGGTAAATTGACAAGCGAACTGAAAATCCGAAAATTGATTATTCCCGAAACGTAATTCTCCAAAGGACCCACGAAGGCTGCAAAGTCAACGTGTACCAGCTTGTCGCCAATGCGGACTCTATACGCGTGCGATTATGCGTGTATGTGTGTGTGTGTGTGTGTGTGTATTGTCTCTCCTCGATACGTACAATATTGTCCCCGACGAGGAATGCCGCACGCGTGTTCTCGATAGCGACTTTACGTGTATATGTGCAAGCGTGCGAGTCGAAGATCCGTTTTAATTACACAACTAGGGAGACACAAGCGTTGCTTTCACTTTCCTCGGTCGATTTTAAACGGTCCGAACGACATTTGAAGCATCGACGAGAAAGAAAAGCGAGGAAGTTCCAGCGTGTGAAAAGTTAAAAGTGCGAAACGTTTACACGCGGAAATTATTTTAACCCCTTGCCGTGCGATTTAGTTCGCGCGGGCCGCAGTGAAGGACAAAGTCGCTCGCGAACTGGGACAAAGAGACTTTTGTTTATGTTTGGCCCGTAATCCGTGTCACGAGCTTGACTCGTGATTTTCATGTTCGGCCCGTAATCCATACCACGAGTCTGATTCGTGATTATACGGCAAGGGGTTAATTAAAGCGACATTAGAAATTAATAGAAATTATACGCGAAGAAAAATACTAGTTGGATAAATCATCAATTTTCGGATAAAGTATAAGCGACTCGGAGATACCAATTAAAAATATCACAATTCCATTTAAGTCGAACAATTGAAGTTCAATTTAAGTTATACCTATTGAAAATATCACAATTCCATTTAAGTTAAACAGCAATCTTGATGATCTAGGCTACATTCTGATGAATTCAGGCGGAATTTCTGAATCGTTTGTACTTCACCAGAACATTGTTTCACTCAACCAAACATTTTTTCCTTCGTGTGGGAAAAGCTGATCGCGCGGTCGCGTACTTTTGGGACTTCGTTGCATTTTTTGAGACAATCCACGCATATCCATTGCACATGCGTATCCATTAATCCATTTTTGCAATTAACCTATAATAGAATGTTTAATTTATTAGTGTCCTTTTTATTTGCAAATTTGCCTAAATTTCCACGATCAAGCGCCAATCGCGATAAGAGTGGTAAAAGTAAGTAGAGTAAAGGGAAGAGTTGCAATTTTAATGCACGAAGCAGTATCGTGCTCACAATAGCAACAACCTTCCCCGCAATCTTAGTGCCTCGTAAAAAGAAGTCTTAAAGAAAATCCTCTTATCGAGACCGAGAGAGAATATGATCCGGTCGATCAAAAAATAAACTCGAAATCTATGATCGAGTCCGATGAATCCTGATGATATGCCAACAGCTATATCTCAGGTTAATCCTCACCGGACGTTAGTATCAGTTGGACGCTTTTTCAGATTCATTCGAATGGAACATTTTTCCCCTGCAGTCTGATGAATTTCGTCTTTCGACTCGTGGCTCTATCAAACTATAAATTTGTCATTGTTACTTTGATTAAATTTTACAAGCAAAACTTCAGTTAGCGTATCGATTCACTTGCAGTAATTAAATCGACTCTAACATTGAGACACTTCGAAATGAACGTCCGATGAGGACTAAAGCATTTATACATTTCTACCAGCCCGCGTATCACCGATTTACTCGTACAACAGCATCGTATCTACAGCATCTGACTGACGCATAAAAAAGGAAAGAAACAAGAGAACGCTGAACCGATCCTCCACTCCAGCCGGGAGAAGCTCGCAGGCCGCGACGCGGCCAACACCGGCGAGCCTTCCTAACGACGACACTTAAGCCGCACCGAAGATGAACACGTTTGGCGAATTAGCGCGTAAATTCGCGCGAAAGGCATTAGTGCCGTTTCACGAGCCGCCGTCAAGGGGGTTGATCGCTCGCTCGCTCGGACCCTCGCGCTTCTGCATTGTTCCGCCTGGAGCATAACGCCCGCGGCGCGGCGCTGCGGCCGATTCGATCCACAATCCCACCCGAGAGCGACCCACACTGACAGAAGCCCGCCGTCGCTCGCGCGAAACTCGCGCCCGTAGGTACACCGCACGCGCGTGCATTCTCCAACCCCCAACCACCACCGACACGCGACGCGCCGATACGCCCGGAGCGAGGGATTTCCTCAATAGGCGCATCTCTCCGGAGTACGGCGCTCGATACAAAAGAATGAATAAATTATCCCCTCCTCCCGCCGCCGCCGCCGCCGCCGCCGCCGCCGCCGCTGCCACACAAGGACGTCGCCCCGTAGGAGGATCGCAAAAAATACCCTTCTCGCGAAAATACCCTGTTCTTCTCTCCACTCGCTTTTTTCTCCCTCTTCTTGTCTTTGGAATTCCACGATGTGTGTATCAATTGTTTGTCGCAACGATTCGCAAGCTCGAACGCCGACCCTGTACCGAGTCTTCTCTCTTCCTCTCACGCAATGGAACATGAACGACGTTTCTCAGTCGTCCGCTTTTTTCTTTTTATTTATATATATATATATATATATATATATGTGTGTGTGTGTGTGTGTGTGTGTGTGTTTTTTTATTTTTTAAGGGTCCGATGTTCGCTAAATCCACCACTGCGCGTTCGCACCGCTCGCGTGTGTATTCCGCGGGGTGTGCGGAAGCCTTTCGGGGTGCACGCGTGAGTGTACACGCGCGCGTGGACGTGCCGTTCGTACGTGCACGCGCGGATGCGTGGGTGCGTGCAACGCGCGAGAGATGCGCAGGACGACTATTCAGATATTGTTGTTATTGTTGAGGGAACAATCGCCCGTCAATAGGCCGCCTCGGCACAATGTATCTATTCAGGTGCGGTCAGCGGTGCTCAATCGATCAGGATCCACCCCTCGCGAGAGAAAGAGAGAGAGTCTCGAAAAAGCAACGCACGCACGCGCGCGCAGCCGGAGAAAACCGTCGTCGGTTCTGCGACGCGCGAGTTTACGTACGCGGTAGCTTGCGACGTAGCGCCGTCGTTGATCGGCTCCACCTGTGCGTGAAACAGGTGAATGCGTTCACGTTGTCCTACGCGCGTGTCCTCTGACCTGACTGAACGCACCGAGCGAAAAGAATCGCGACCGAGAAGCGCGCTCGCACGTACTATTCGGTGCGATGCTACGAAGAATGCGCGTTTGAGTCGATAATGTTTTTAACTCGGCAGACAAGATGAGAGAGACTGCGTTAATCTTGAGCGCGCCGCGAGTTGATGAATTTATATTACAGAGCGGCGGCAATTTGTGTCATTTACGTAAACCGTTTTTATTTCAGTTTCTTGTGTCCTTGTGATTTTACTCCTCACGAGATATATTCTAAGCAGTTCGATCACAATGATGCAATGACGCTTGCGGACGCAACCGTTTTTTTATATAAAAACTCAATCCTCTTGATTACTAAAATCGAAAAACAGGGCTAATTGCTGATGATCAGTTTGCGCGTCTTTGAGCATTGCGTCGATTTCAAGTGAAGTTCATATCACTCGACTAAACTGCTTAGCCTGTCTATCGACCTTAGCCTATCTGGACGACAGTCGCAGCCCGTCGCAGATCTCTCTGGTCGCGAGATTCGGCAACCTTCTTTCATTAGGAAATTACAGCGACGCAGAATATTCCAAGGACGAACGCGAAGGTTCGGCAAAATCGCGGCAATCTCGGCGCCGTTTAAACGCACGGCTCGACGGCAATCGTCGTTCAAACGTATCGCGCTATCGATTGAAAAGCGAGCCGAACTATGAGCCCCCGGTCGCTAGCGGCCGTTATTATTACTACGCGATGAGGACCTGGTTTGAGCCGACGAGCCGGATCGTCCTGTCGCGGTATGACACGGCGTTAAATGCGCCTCAAAAGAGGTCCGGCCGGCCGGCCGGCCTACCGGAGAAAAAGAGGCCGCGCGTGAGAGCCACTGCCGCGAGCGGCGAGGGTACCGGAGCTCCGCGGCTATAGCGATGATTACGTATGCGGGAATCATTGTCGAGTAACGCGCGATGCACATGCAAAGGCCAAAAATCGTCGAAATCAGTCGAGTTCAACATCAGCATTGTACCTGGGCTTTGTCTCTGCCTCATTGTTGTTGGCCGGTACTCTCTTCTCGCTCGCTCACTCGCGTGCTCGTTCTCTCTCTTTCTCTCCTCCCTCCCTCCTCTCTCTCTCTCTCTCTCTCTCTCTCTCTCTCTCTCTCAATGTACGACCTACACGTACCGCGAGCCGCGACTGCTGTCCCGGGTTGGCCTCCATGACTGGTCCGTCCACGCGACCAGAACCATTCGCTATGTAACGCCGATCCGTGGACAGAGCCGGTTTAACCCTTTCGTCGCGAAAGACGCGCGTACGCGGACCGAGAGGAGCGCAACGATACGTAAGCGCGGGCAGGGATGAAAGCTGGATAGGGCGAGAGAGAGAGAGAGAGAGAGAGAGAGGAAGGGAAGAGCTGCATTCTCCGTGGATTAAAATAATGCAAGACTGCAATCGCAGCAATCTTAAAGTTTATCTTCGCGAATTTCCCCCTCACGTCTCACACGTCAACACGCGAGCACGACAGCCAGTCTTACGAGTTCACCGTTTTATTTCACCGCGAGCGCTAAATAATTCCTACTCCCACCCCGTTCGACGGGAGACAGCGGATCTTCGGATGTCGCGCGCGCAATCCGATCGTGCGCGGCGCCGTAGACGCGGCCGTCGACGGAGGAGGGTCCGCGGATTCCCGTGTCTGCCTTTTTCCACTGTGCATAATACAGGTGCAGGACAGATAGGACAAGATCTCCGCGATGATATTGGGACGAGAGCGAGCGAGAGGGCTAACACCACCGGCGGCGGAGCAAGACGAATCCGCTCCAGAGGAGCGGGCGAGCGGGCGGCGGGAGGGGCAGCATGGGGCACAAGGGGGAGAGTGAGCGAGCGAGCGAGAGAGCGAGAGCGAAAGAGAGAGAGAGAGAGAGAGAGAAACGGTAAAGAGGGGATAGGAGGAGAAGAGGGCATAGAGCAGCTGAATAGGAAGCGACACAATGGACCTGGGTGGCTGTGGAGGCGTGTTATCAAATGGGTTCCTCATTCACATACTGCGGCCTGAGCTACCTGTGTCTGTCTGTACCGGTGTCTGTCTGTTATACTTATTCATACCGCCCATTGTGTCCTCCACTGTTGAGTCGAGTTCAGTTCAGTTGAGAACGCGATGGAACGTGCCACAATGCACGAATATGGGCTGCGCCGCACCTCCCCCGCTGCTCCCGCCACCCCCTGCCCGTCTCCCCCGCCGCTCCTTCTGCACCCGTCCATCCCCCCAGCGCGTGCACCTCTATCGCACTCACTCTCTCTCTCTCTCTCTCTCTCTCTCTCTTGCTCGCTCGCTCTCTTTGCCATTTGCCACCCACGGTCCAACCCGCGTCGGATTCGCCGGGGCCGACTGAAAAGAAAATTGCGTCGGGAAATTGTATCCGCGAGAAAACCCGACCGATAATGCGGAGTTCTTGAAGCGTACACGTACGTCGCGGATCTCTCCGCCTTGGCGGCTGCGACGGCTGCAACGACGGTGGTCGTCGAATCCTACCAACTGTCTCGTTAGACGAACGCTAGTTTCCGCGGGGGGTACGATCGATGCCCCTCCCCCTCCCCCCCCCGGCCCGTCAACCAAGAATCCCGTCCGGAATTCCGGGACGCACGTGATACTCGCCGGCGAATATTCCGACGCGTATTGCCGCAATGCGATACTTTGCGGTGGGCGACAAAGCCAAGTTGAGATTACGCGGAACGATAGTCCCTCTTCCTCCCTCCTGCCCCTGGCCGCAGGGTGCGCGGGACAGGCCACGCCAGACGACGAGGCGAGCGACGTTACCCTCGTTCCGTCGCTAACGGCTAATTTTTTAATAATTTCCATTTTCTTTTTTCTCCAGCTTCCTCGCGGTATTCCGCGTCCCCGTCGTCGTTGTTCGCGTTTCGTCTCCGACTCGCCGGCGCGACGATACCGACGACGAAACGCCACCCCTTCTGCGCGCGCGGGATGAAACGCGATGAAACGCTGGCTGCGTCTCCCCGCGCGAGACGGCAAAGGGGCACGCGAAACGCTTCGGCCCGAAAAACGATAAACGAGGAGGAAATCCGCGGCCGGGGCGGGGGAGGGGGGGAAGAGGCGAGGGCGAAAGGGAAAAAGGGGCTATTCGCGCGGGCGTTTCTTGCCGAGGCCGCGCGCGCGATGCGGCAAGAGAAAAGAGAGGAACGTAATACGTAACGTATAAACGGCCATAGGGCCCTGGATGAGCCGCGCGCGGACGCAACGGCATACAAAACTCGCTCAATACGTCATTCAGCCGAAGAATACGCCTCGTTCTCGCCATTTTGCTCCCAGAATGAGAGTTTCAAAGGGAATTAAGGATTCAAAGGCATCTTTTGCGCGGCGTGCATAAAACGTCCAGCCACCGCGGCTCCGCGTCTCTCTGTCCCCCCTCTCTCTTTCTCTCGTCTCTCTCCCTCTCTCTCTCTCTCTCTCTCTCTCTCTCTCTCTCTCTCTCTCTCTCCTTCTTCTCTCTCTCTCTCTCTCTCTCTCTCTGTGTGTGTGTGTTTCTCTTCCTCCCTCGCTCTGTCTCGCTCTTTCTCAGGAGCGCCGACGCTCCTTATCTACTTCCGTCTTTCCCTTTTCTCCTTCTATAACTCCTCGTATGCGTCGCATTCGTTTCTACAACGTTCTCAAGAGGAGCGTGAATCGGCGAAGAGCAAGCTCGCGGTCGCCCGTCGCCGGCACGACACCCGCACAGAAGGACGCTAAACTCGTCGAACGGAGTATCTGCACTGTGCATACCCGAGTCGCATTTAACGATAAACGCGCGCCCGTCACGAGACACTCGTCTCGCGCTGGCAAGGAATGCGCTGTTCGCGCGCGCGAGGCGAACGAAACTCCCGAGTCCACAAAGACGCTCGCGATTCTACCTCGCGAGGATGGCCGGAGAATCTTGTCAACATGCACCGAGCGACCGCGGTCGCCGATAAATCAGACGGAGGACGTACCAATAAGATCTCCTAAACGTCCACGTCGTCGTTCGAACAGCCAGCCAATTTCCGAGCGACCCTAAATCCTCGCGCACCGCCGACAAGAGAGAGGGAGAGAGAAGGAAAGAGAGAGAGAGAGAGAGAGAGAGAGAGAGAGAGAGAGAGAGAGAGAGAGAGAAACCGGGAAAAGGAACACGGCAGGCTCGCCCTTCATATTTGACGTAGTCCTGGCAAAAAATGGTCAGCGCGCACCCTCATAATCCCTCCCCCCGCGACGATGACCTTTTCTATCTTCCGGCGTCCGTGCGGAACAAATTCGGTACGGCGATAACTGTTTGCGCTGTGAGATAACAAAGAGGGGGTTGCCCGCGGCCGGGACTGGTCGTGCCTCGTCGTCTGTCTAGGATTGCCCGATTAACATAAAAATGCGGCGGCTCGTAAAAGGCCAGCGTATACGTACATATATTACGAGCGTTATGTATCGCCGGGAGGGCGCGCGGCAAGGGGATAGGACGGGTGGGTAGAGAAGGGGAGGTTATAGTTTCCGATTATTATTCATGGTGTGGCCGTGGTAGCAGCATCCGGCACTCGCATCGACGTGTGTGTGTGTGTGTGTGTGTGTGTGTATGTCGAGTCAATATAATGCCAACACAAGCGACAATGTATGGACGCGATGCGGACACAGAGACGCATAATACTGCATGGGGCAGGGTGGTGGTGGTGGTGACGGGACATTGCCGGCCGTACGTTTTCATTTTCATTTTCTCGCGCGCTGACCGACCGATTCGGCATACTTTCGTCTCCCGCGATACACTTTTCTCGCGCGAGGATTTTCCCCAGAAATTTGCGCGCCCGTAGGTTCTCCCGTATTGCCGGGGTGTGCGCCTATGTTCTATAAAGAAACCTCTCCCTCTCCTCCTCCCCCCCCTTCGCCCGATGACGCTCGCTTTTCAGCTTTAACGAGACGTAACGGGCGCCCGTGCGCGCACACGCGAGAAAAAGAAGACTTAAATGTTTACTCATCCACGGAGCGCTCAGAATTAAAAGGATGAGAGAGTGCCACTTACCGAGCTGCGCCGCGCGCTGCAAAAGCCGAGGGACCTGAAACAGAAAACCGAAGAACGCCTTGTAGTGATAAGCGCAACGAACGCTCGGCAGAAGATGCATACATTGTGACTGTCGTGAATTGTAAACTGTCGTAAATAAATTTGCGAACAAACATTTTTATGTTTAGGATCACTGTGTAGCTATCAGCTATTAGCCGATTTCTTACAAGGAAAAAGATTGATCTGAAAAATTTTTTTTTAATTTCTTCGATAAAATAACTCCACACATAATGAAGGATGCGACTGTCGCGAATTGGGACGCTCACTTTATCTCGAAATTCAGAAAACGATCGATTTTCAACTCTTGCGTGATATCCGCTGAAATCTCCCTGCGTTTCATATTTATATAGGATCGGCTTCGGAAACACGAGGAAGAAAATCGAATCGTTCGTCGCACGCCTTCTCTATCGCGATATCAGTATTCTCTTTTTCTCTCTCCCCATCTCTCTCTCTCTCTCTCTCTCTCTCTCTCTCTCTCTCTCTCTAATTTCGCAGATCGCGAACACGCACATACACACCCGCGTTAAATTTTCTTTTTATATTCGTCTCTCTTCCCGGCGCGCGCGGGAGAGAGAAGGAAAGAGCACGCGACACGGTCGCGCATACACACCCCCAGTTTGAGCATTGCTGAGGCCTTATCGGCAGTTATCGGGCCGTGATGTCACACAATGGGGCAGACAATGCTCGGGACAATACACCCCCTGCCTGCTTCTAGACTCTATCCGGCCCTCACAGGGGGCACACCCCCGCCCGTCCGCCCGCCCATCCGGCCACCCACCGTCGTCGACTTCTCTCTCCTCTCTTGGAGAATCAGCACATCCCCGCCAACTTAATAAACATAATAGCTGACTATGCCGCCCCGCGGTCACAATGAGAGCTCCGCGCAAAGAGATACCGAAGATACGAGGCACCGGCATTGTGCGCCCTGCTCTTTCCCGGCTTCCCCGCCGAACGGATTACGCCGACAGACGTGCCGTCGCGGATTTGCCATTCACGAAAAACCTCTCGAAGGGGGAACAGAGAGATGGAGGGAGGCAAGGTGGAAGACAGGCAGAAGGGGAGGGGGAGGGAGAGCTCTGTCGCTCGGAAGACGTAGAGATTCACCTGAACTCGCAATCAGCCGATACGGAGAGTCAATCAATCAAGAGTAATTGCGAGCGCTCGCAATTATTCTCCAATAAATAGTAATAGTAATACATATATTTAGTAATAACAGTAATAATAAATAATCTCTGATAAATGAGGTCCACTAGAGGAGAGTCGTCGTGGAACCGTCAGAAGCTGCCGGTTATTTTATAGTCAATCTGGGGAAACGATTGTCTCCAATCTCTCGATCCCGGTAGGGATATGCGATAATTAATTTCGAAGTGCCTAATGGAGACAAGAGAGACGATCGGGGGAAGGGGAGAGAGACAGAGAGAAAGAGAAAGGGAGAGAGAAATTAAGTTTCGATTCACGCGATGGATTCCTCCGGCATGAGAGCGCAATCTCTCTCTCTCCCTCTCCCCTCCTTTCTCTCTCTCTCCCTCTCTCCCTCTCTCTCTCTCTCTCTCTCTCTCTCGCCCGGGCCTGACTTCAGAGGGTGGATTGCCGCACGCATCATCGAATCGACTCCACGCCCTTGTGTATATACTCCCACTCTACTCGACCTACCGCGGGCTCGAGCCACCCTTTGCGGCCGAACAATATGCTTCGCCCTCCCCGCCGCCGTGTAATTACTCTAAACCACGTGCCGCCGCAGCGAGGCAAAGAGTGAGAGAGAGAGAGAGAGAGAGAGAGAGAGAAAGAGAGAGAGTGAGAGGGAGAGAGGGAAAGGGAGGGAGGGGTAGAGCGAGAGCACAAGCTGATGCACGAGCCATTGAAAAACGCAGTCGAGCGCCCATTATTTCGAGAACTTTTCACTTTAAGCGCATCCGCGCGCACGACGAGGCGTGTTGCGATCGTGTCCGAAATGAGTCGTGGTCGAAAGTCTCTCCAGCAGCAGCCCACCGCCCGGCCGCAAATACGCCCTCGCGTCGTCACCCTCTCCGCGTTAAAACGCGACGCGTTTTTATCAATCGCTGAATTACAGTGATTATAAATATGTAGCGCGGCCGGGAATTTAATCTTCGTCCACTTAATTGCACAATTTCCAAACCCACCGGTGCCGGTGACACCGTTCTTTGAACTCCACTGCCAGTTTTCGTACGAATTTCGTTAGATACTGAGGGTAATACACGGGAATTCGAACATAAGAAATAATTAATAAATAATTAACAGATCCCTATACGTCCCCTAACATGTCATCAAATTCACGCGGGAGTCCCGACTATTGGATATTATTGGTTACTTTGTCTCACTTATTAACTTAATTAATCAGCCGCGAAATGCCCACGATGAAGCAATCGGAGACCGTGAAATTCGCGAAACTCACCGTCGCATCGTCGGCGCCGATTGATCAAATTTTATTTCGTCAATACGTTCAATAGTAGTTTGCAAAATGACAAGAATTTCGCTATTCAATTTAAAGAGTTCTCCATCCGTACGCGAGCGGTCGGACACTTAAATCCACATCAACCAGTCTGTAATTAACACGTTGCCGTTTGATTATCCGTTGATTATCTCAACGCTCCATTCTCGTTTGAATCACCGAAAGACGAGCGCGGTAAATAGATGCACATATTCGCTGGTTCAATTCATTGCCTCTCTACGTCGTAGAGATGTGCGTACTATTCGAATTCGAATCCGAATCCCTATGATTCGAATCCGAATAATACGAATAGGAATCAAATACATTATCGTTTGCGTGCATCAGCTACAAAACAGGCCATCTGTGTATGCTTGAGCGCTTAACTTGTAATTAACTTAACTTATAATTATTAACTTAATTATAAATTACTTTAAATATTTAAATATATATTTTACTTTAAGATGATATTACAATATCAATATTCCCTTTCATATTAAAATCTTCCATCATTATTTGCGTGTTTAATAGTCATGTTAAATTTTTTAATGATTCGATTTGTTTCATTCAACATTTGTTTCATTCGATTCGATTTAAATTCGAGTAAAATTTCATAGATTCGATTCGATTCGATTCGAATTCGAATTTAAAAAATGAGATTCGATTCGATTCGATTAGACATAAAAATTCTTGATTCGCGCATCTCTGTTATGTCGGCCATATATTTAATTCGTCATACGCGGTCGGTTACGTTTCACGCATAAACTAATGAGACACGGCGATGCTGCAGCGCCGCTCACTGACGATCAGCGACACGACGCGCGATCAACGTGTTCATAATATTTCTATGAGAATGATATAGCGATATCTATATGTCGTCGAAGCACGCGACGTCGCGCGGGAAGGGGCGCATAATTTACGGCGTTTGATATCGGCAGGCAGATTTTCTCACGTGCCATCTTGCGCTCGCGCGATCTCCACCGGCGCCGCGGCGGGCACTGATCGTATCTTCGAAACGGCATCGGAGAAACGTTAATTAAGCGAACAGATGCGCCGAGGAAATAGTAAATCATACGACCCCGCGCAAATAGAGACCGTTCGCAGCGTCGAGCGTCGTATCGTCGCCGGGTTATCGGGATAATGATAAATCGCTCGTTCAAACGGACCCTTTCCACACACACGGGCCGCATTATAACTCTCTCTCTCTCTCTCTCTCTCTCTCTCTCTCTCTCTCTCTCTCTCTCTCTCTCTCTCTCTCTCTCTCTCTCCTTCGCTAAAAGGGTCGCGAGAATACACCCTTGTGTTGTCGGGGCAGCATAAAGCGTGCTCAAACACGACGCCGTCCAAAGAGCTAAAAATTCTTATCGAATTGGATGCGGGTTGGGAGGGGTGTGGAGGACGAGGGGAGCGGGAGCGGCAGCTGACTGTTTCCCAATTAGAAAGAAAGACAAAAGAAAGGACGAGTCCAACTTTTGCAATTAATACGTTCGCCGGGAGCGACGCTTTTATCGCCGCGCGAAATAAAATCCGACTCGCCGAAGACACCGAGAATCGCTTCCCGAGAAGCTTCTCTCTCTCTTCGCGTCCGCAACTCTCTCGAGGAATTTAAATTTCACCGCGCGCGTCCTCTCTCTCTCTCTCTCTCTCTCTCTCTCTCTCCTTCGTTTTGTCCTCGCGTTCACCGACGATCGCGCTCTCTCGCGCGATTTAACCGCACGGCAGGCGCTTCTTCCGAACCGCCTCACCGCGGGCCCGCGTCACCGAGCTGCATCGGCCGGCGGATTTTGAGCCCGAAATCGCGGGGATTCACGTCGACGGTCGCATTAACGAGTAATTAACCATACCGGTCGATTCGATAGATAATCCGGAAGACGGCAGTAAAACAAGGTAACCTCGTGGGATTGGCGCCAGCGGCGGCGGCGGTTGCGACGACGACGACGACGGTGGTGGTTAACGGTGGTGGTAGCGCGGTTGTGTAGCGGCGGTGGCGGCGACGACAACGACGACGACGACGACGACGACGACGACGACGACGACGACGACGACGGCGACGGCGACGACGACGGCGACGGCGACGACGACGACGACGGCGACGGCGACGACGACGACGACGACGACGACGACGACGACGACGACGACGGCGACGGCGACGACGACGACGACGGCGACGACGACGGCGACGACGACGACGACGACGACGACGACGACGACGGCGACGACGACGACGACGACGACGACGACGACGACGACGACGACGACGACGACGACGACGACGGCGACGGCGACGTCGACGACGACGACGACGGCGACGTCGATGACGACGACGACGACGACGACGACGACGACGACGACGACGACGACGACGACGACGACGACGACGACGACGACGACGACGTCGACGACGACGACGACGGCGACGTCGACGACGATGACGACGGCGACGTCGACGACGACGACGACGACGACGACGGCGGTGGTGGTGGTGGTGGTGGGTATAGTGGTGGTGGCGTCGGAACCGCCCCGGCTTTGCAAGCCCGGCGAATGGAGTG